TTATTTATTATATATATATATATATATATATATATTCTTGTTATAAAAAAATGTGACTTTTATAATTTTGAAAAGAAACGTCAGTCTGAAAATTACGAACAAAATGTAGATCTCGATATCATAGGAATTGCCCACCCCAAGCTTAAAGTACTATAGTATAAATCGATACTTCTCAGCCATTTTATATTTACAAGCGGACGGCATGACATTTCTTTTTTGATGCCGATTCTTTCTGCATTTTACGAGCACGAAGTAATCGTCGGTATAGCATCAACTTATGCACGCCAGTTTTTTGCCCAATACCATAACGAGAGTTTGTGGAAAAGTTTACTCCTGTTTTTAAGTAGTTATGTTATGTATAGATGTGTGTATTACGTGCTTTATACGCATGTATTATATACTGCAGTTACGATCGGTGTATATATTTCTAATTAAAACGTGATTTCTCGAGCTATTTTTTTTCTCGCTACACATTTTCTCCGCACTATACACTTTTCTTCCTTCTCATCGCGATTGCAAACATTGATAGTAGACGTATTCGGTAACAATTGGTACACGCCAATAATCAGAACAATGGTCCCTACGATCGTCAATGAGGACGCACTCATTGTCAGCGATATTAGCGAGACGCCCATCGCAGCATTTGGTCCCCTTGGTCATCCAGGATGTCACCAGTGACCATATGGATACGCCCATCATTAGAATATCCCCTTTATTAACAACGGGCATCAAGGGTGTTTCTCAAGCAGGCGTCTCGCTTCTGTCGCTTGCTCGATGAGTGATCGATCGCTTCGTGCTCTTGAAAGACGGAAACGAAATCGGGCAACAAAATATCATGACGATTTCCTTAGTTTTAATCGGTACGATTAGAAGGACTCTGCGTGTCGGAAATATTTTTACTTTGTCGACTCGGATATTGCTTTTCTATGGCGTTGCAACGTTGCCGTACTTCTTTCCTATCACTTAAAGATACGATAGACTTGCCTATGCGCCAATCAGCGAGATCTTATACCTATTTACGGCAGTAAATAGGCGATAAGTAAGTAGGCGGCGGAGGGAACGCAATAGGCCACGGGTGAGACGTTTATGTTTATGTTTTTTTTCCCTTTTAAATAAATCGCATTACGAAAAGTTAAAAGTCAAAAACTTAAAAGAATCAGATGTTTTTAACAGAATCTTCATTACGTATTAATATGTATTTTTGTTTTCTCTCGTCAATCAGTAAGATTAATCGTTTTAATTAATATAAAAAAAAAACACCGAGTAAAAGAATATCAATATATTCATGTGATTAGTCGAAACTAAAGATATTAATATCATAATTGATATAATGTGATTGACTTGTATTTTATCACGCAGCCCCATTTTAAACATGTCAATGTAGTAAACTTTTCAAAATTTTATTAAAATTGGTACCGACATTCTTGCAATATTAATCTTTATTAAAATATATGTAAATAAATGTAAAGGGACAGTAAAAATTGCACAAGAACTAAAACGTAAGTTTGCTTCATATCGTAAAATATCACAATCAAAGTAATTAAATATGTAAATTTGTTAAGTAACTTGAAATACACAATAAGTAGTAACAGCCTTATCGGACAGCCATATGAGAAAGCACAATGAAACAAAGTTTAATTACAAATTAAAGCTATTATTCTACCAAATATATCTTTTTCGATTTGTAGCATTTGTTAGGACGAATTTTACCTAATGCAGCAGTAATTGTAAAGCGACGCAGAAGTTCGTCACGTAAAGAACCGATGGCGTACTAGAATTACAATGAAATAAACATTGAATTTTGCTTGTTTGCCATCCCGCTAGTTTACCTTTACAAGGTGATCAGTAGGCAGTCCCCCATTGATCTTCTCTCTCTCTCTTTCTCTCTCTCGCTGTTTTCCCCACTGAAATCACACCGCGAGCTGAGTTTCAGGCACGCGCTTATTTTCACAGGCACGCTTCAGGTACCGATACCGTATTTTTCATTATTTTTAATAGTTCTCCACCAACGATTTTGTTCGATCGTAGGCAACGTAGAACGACGGTGTCGTCGGCAATTCCTATGCTCGCCGTCGGCGCTTCATATTGCAACTAGTAAATATTCGGAAATGTAAAAAACAATGGATGATGTCGATTCGCAATTCGGTGACGATCATCTCGGTTCGCAAGCATATGCAGAGCGAATAACTATATTCGCTCGATACTGCGCGCGATATTTGGTTTTACGCGTTAGCGACTCCTGCTCCTCTATAACTTTATCACTTCCAAATATTTACATGGAAACCTATATCGCTGCATCTATATAACGTTTCGGACAAAAGTCTGGCTCGAAGAAATCGCATTGCGATAAAAGCACACTGGCAGCTTCCATTATCCTCTTTGAGCACATGCGACATCGTACATTTCCAAGAGGCTCGTATTTATCATTGATAATCGAGTTGACAAGATTAAGTGGAATGTCAATGATATCTATACGAAGTGTGAAGAAAATCTTCGCGTTCGCGCAAAAATGAGCGTGATTTATATCACGCGTGGAATACGAACACGTAATGCACCATCGCGAGGCGCTAAAAACGAATTGTAGCGAATTTTTTCTTTCGCACGATGATCATACGTATCACTTTTACGTGCTATCTGATTTTGTTTCTAATACTTTTTACGACATTACTATGCGTATAATTTATGCGAAAAATTTCACGCAGCTGCAAGAGAAGATTTTAACAAAACTCGGCCAACTATAATTTTGCAGAATGTAAAAGTGCGCGTTTTTTTTAAATAAGTATTCTGCGAGTTTTATTCATTTCTACGTGGACGAGAAGTTTTCTCACAACCTGTCACACTTGAGCAATGTTTCGAATGATCTCGGCACTTGGCAATGACGACACGATGCGCATCTGCTGACGACTCTCCGTCGTTTTGGCATAAGGACAACCGCGAGATAAATCGAAATGGCATGTTGCAGGAGCACCGATACTTTGCACAAAGATGTAACATTGTGGATCACCTTCATGAATCTCGTGGTCTCTTTTCAAGATAAATGACCTTTCCCGCGAGAATGTGTTATCTCACTTTGCAGCAAAGCGAAGCGGAAAGCTATCGTGGGCGACAAACAAACAAACGATCTTTTATAGAAACGGTCATCTGTTGAAGTAAAGAGATCTCTTTTGTACATAGTGTCCACTGCTCTTTCAAGGCTCCTTGTAAATTCTATTCGTGTATCCGTGTGTAGTTTACATCCGAGTTGGATCGAGTTCGCGATGGAAATAGAGGTAATCGGCGCGCATGTCGATCATGCGCGTTTCAGGAAACATCCGTGTGAAAATATTCCGAATGTAATCGCTAAGAAATTGATTATATCTAAAGAACTGGCACAACGGGTGAATGGGGCTGGAGAGTGAATCAGATTTCAAATTAAAAGGCTCACTCGATTCCATTTTTGTTCATTTCGATTTTTCATTTATCTTCGAAACTTTGACCGATCATCGAAACCATCGATTCATTAATATTTTCAATTATTTTTTTTTTTTCCGAGTTTTTCAATATCATACAATTTACTCTCCGGCTGCATTCACTCGCCAGTACAATATATATCGTGAAAATAAGCACAAAGTACTCGTCGCACGAGCGAGATGCTCGTGGCGCTGTGTTCTCCACTTTATTGAAAACTCACACACTACTCTTATTGCGCGTCTCTTAGTGTAACATGATCATTATCAATTTTCCAACAAATTGGTAATGGAAGAGGATAGGAAAAGAAAGCTGGCGATAGCGAGTGGAGAGAAAAAGTTAGTGGAAAGAACGCGAGAGTGAAAAATCAAGCGCGGTGGCGAAAGAAAGATGCAGATCGTAAGCCCGGAATTAATGAAATCGTGTATCGTATTAGAGACGGGAATACTGGATAGAATACTTAAAACGCAGCACTCTGCTTGTAGCAGTGTCATCCTTGATAAATCCTTACGGTCTATGATGTAATTGTTAGATGAAAATCGACGTGCTATATCGTCCGAGTTAATAATCCGCGAATCGCTTTTACTTGACCAGTAAATGGCAGAACGAATGCGTTTTAGCGGTGGACACTCGAGATCTCGATTCCGCATTTCTGATCAATCACTACGGAGTGTAGCAAACGGGATTATTAACGCTAAGAATAATGAACACTTGAAAATTGCGAATGGAAACCTCGACGATAAATTCTCCAGCACGAGAGAGATACTTACGGAGGCTTATATAGGAGAGAAGTTTTAATCCGTTTTTTTCCGTGTGCCCTCATAAAAAGCGGCATACGCGCGACATCGCGTTTTCACCGTCTATATACATACATCTACGAGTGTCCACACGTGACGTACGAGAGATACAAATCGTGCGTGAAGGGAAGTGTGTCGCGTCGTGCGAGGCGTCCCGCCGTCGCCGAGTCGCCGAGAAAACGGCGAGTTTCCCGGATGTTGTCATAAATTATTTAAGTATTGTCATCGACTCCGAATGCCGTACATACACTCGACATACGCCGCGACCAAAGAGAGAAAAAGCGAGAACGTGGCCGTGCCGCATCCGCGTCGGTCCTTGGGCCTGACAATACCGGGAGCGAACGGGATGGGCTGCCTTTTCCCGTGCATCACTGTATCTCACAAAAAGACATCTTATTATTCACTTCCTTGGTCTGCTCCTGATCCTGGCTGTTGCCGCCTTCGCTCTTCGGACTACCCGCCTCTTCTATGGAGCCCCCACCGCTGCCGTGGGGGCACATCGATTGTCATCTAAGCGCCAAAGTGGATATCATCGGCGGTCGGGACGGTTTGTTGTCAAGAATCCTCTCGATCTCGCTCATTATGTTCGCGTTCAATTTCGGGATAAGCTGAAACAGGCGCACCGCGACGTTCCTATTAATGACATTTTTGCCATTGCATTTCATTTTTAATCAATCGCGGGAGATTAATTGAAATATTTTTTATTATCGCAATTTTAAATTAAAAGATAATAATAATTTAATTTTGAATAGTTATTCTTGATTTATTAGCAGAGTTGATAAAAGACAAAGAGAAAGGACGCGTTAACACAATATCGATCGCATTAAATTTCTACAAAGTTTCCTACGCTAAGTGAAACACACACGCGCAATCAGATCAGTTAAAATTTATCATCTAGCGGAAAGTTTATGAAGGATATCTCTGGCAATGATAAAAAAAAACTGTAAATTCGATGCCAGCTAATCTCATATCGCTTAGTACAAATAACCTTCCGCGAGATAAACGTCTCGTTACCTGCAAGCTTTGGAGACTCTCGTACAATTGATCTATATTGGATGCACCGAGCAAAAGGCACTGAACACTTTCATTCTTTAAGGACCACGCGATGGCCAGTTGTCCAAAAGAGCATCCCAATCTTTCGGCCAGAGCGTACACGTCCCGCAATTTATCCGAGTATTTCCGTGTTTCTTCGTCGGCGGGTTTCTCTTTCCACGCGTAATCCTGCGTCAAGGGAATAAACAACCTTAGTTCGGGAATAAACGCCTAACCGGAACAATGACGTTGTGTACTTTATGCTCAGAAATAACAATAGCGGATAATACCATAAGTCGGCGAATGCAAGCTTTGGAATAAATATAGATGGGCGCTGACGTGTTATAAAAGTTAAATTATAATTGCATGTGCACGTTATTTCTAGAAAAATGCTACTCGCAGTGTAATCGTACCTCCTTGTATAAAGATTGAGTTTCATCCTCCGTCCAACTGAACGAGGAGTATTTGTTCTGAAATCATAGATATTATTCTCTTTATTTAGGTAGATCTTAATAGTTTTCATTAGAGATTTAATTCATCGATATTTCAACAAATTTTATAAAGAGCAGCGTCACGAAATGATTGAACATCGACTCTATAATAAATTCTTGATGTTCTGATTTACTTAGTCATACTTTGGATACTTACTTTGTAAGAGGATCTCGAGAGGAACGATACTCCGCAATCTTCCGGCTTCGAAGAAACCATTCCGATGGTAACAGTAGACCATGCCATCAAACCAACACCTATAAGAAATCACGGCAATTACTTTCGAACGATTCGTATCGCGATCCTCTGCCGATCACACACAGTCATTGAGTGCACGTAAAAAAAAAGCTTCTTTCGTTAATGCATTATATGGCGTTAGGTGAGAATCCGAGTTTAATTACCAATTTTATTATACAATTCTGGCATATAGAGTTCAGGTTTCTCCCTGTAAAAGAGATGATACTCCGCTTGCTCAACGATCGGCGTCACGCAATTAAATTGCCGACAATTCGTATAGGCTTCCATAATCTCCACGGGCGTCCATCGCGATGTACCCCAGTACATTACCCAACCTTTGCTTATAACGTAATTCATAGCGCGAACGATCTCTGAAACGGGATCATGTGAGTATGTGAGATACAAGTGGCAACGGGATCGCTTTGTCATGAAAAAATGTCAGGTATAACGATAAATTAATACGTGAAACATTATTCTGTGTTAAACGAGTTTCTTTTTAAACGAGTAAACTAATATCTGTTTAAAAAAAAAGAGCAAACGTGTGTTTTAAAGCGTATAAAGGGGATAAAGGTAAAATGGCCGGATAGTTTTCACTTGCATTTTTATACTTGCAATCTTTCACATACATTTTTCACACGATATTGAAGCATACATTAACGCTATACATAAACACAAGAAGACGTTTATACAGATATTTATGAAAAGAAAAAAAATTATATATATATATATATAAGATACATACACTTTTACGACAATAATTTCTCATTTTCTCTATAAAAGTATTGAGTCTAGACAGAAGCGTACAGTAACTATTACGGCACAGTGCAACTGCCAAACATCAAATCGTCACTATAATTGAGATTTATATTTTAGTTTCTTCTTTTAATTTCTCGTAGATGGACTAGAAGGTCCTTAGAAAATTTTTCATGTCTTGTGTAATATTGTATTGCGTTATGCGATATGGAACTAATTGTAAGTGAGATTTTATCGGTTTTGAGTTTTGTACTAAATAAATGTCTTCATTAATTATTAAATCATATTCTATAATAAATGCATTGCATAGCATTATTCGACAAACTTGGGAATATTTCATAAATAATAATAACATATTGTTGAATCGGTTTATCGTACTATGTTAACTTGTTTCTTCTCAAAGCTTTAAAGATTATTTTTATTTGTACTTAATCTTTGCGAAAATTGATTTTACCTTTATCCATAAAAAAACATAATTTATCTGCAAAATGATATTTCCGTGAAAAATTATTTTTAATCGATTACTGACAAAATATTGATGAAGAGCGAAATGTTTCTTCAAGCTTTTAATAGTAAAATTGATGGAAAGCTTAATAAATCTTAAATAAATCCAGATTAAAACTGCAATAAATTTGTCCCGTTATTAAAGATGTTTTGAGAAGAAATTGAAACAAACTGTTAAAAGCGCATATGGTAAATTTGATATAAGAGGCGTTACTTTGATAATACATGAACATTGAGTTTGCTTCTAATCTTTTGATATACTGAATATAATTTTCCATTGTTGCTTTTCTACTACGTAAACACTAAAAATGTTGCTTCTACTTGTTAAATTGTGCGTTATCGTAATTGACATCTTCAAAAACATCGGTTATTATCAAGATTACAATACCGCAGTACGATGCCTCGTGCAATGAAGTGCCGCAAATGATTGAATAATGGAATGGATGAGGAAGGATTTGAATCTTTGAGTAATTGCTCGCCAGAGAAGTAGGAGAGTTGGAAAGTTACCTTCCATCGGACACATTGGATCGACTTTGTGGATCATGACAATGTCGATGTACGACAGTTGCAGCCTGACGAGCGAAGCTTGCACGGACTCGATTATGTGTTTCCGCGATAGCCCGCGACCCTCGCTCCTATCAAGAATGGTAGACATTATCAATCTCAATATATAATGTACAAATTAGTATTACTAAGGATCATGAGAATGTGAGCGATGTGCGGCGTCGTGCGATTCCCTCATTTCTCTCGTCATGGCATTAAATGCCGGCGAACCGAAACAATGACAAACAACGGCTTGTAACGCCTAAAGGCACGGAAACCTAGTTATCGATCCACACGTCAAGGCAAAGTCTCATATTCGCACCGTCCACTTAATATTAATCGAGGCCGTCTCGCGTACGAGATTCACTTCTGTACGATATCTCGCCGTCGGGTTCTGTGATTTTCGAGGTGAAAAAAAAATCGCGCATCTCTACGGTATCTGGCGTAACGCTGTTATCGATTAGTCATCGAATGACGTACCACTTCGATCGGCTTAGAAAATATGTTTTAAGGAATGGCTCTGTTTTCTGACATTGTTCTAGATAGGAATACACACATATATATATATATATATATATGATTAGTAAATACGCGCGATACGTGATAAAGTATCAATAACCTTCGCGGTATTAATGACGGACAGCTGTCAGCTTGTTCTTGATAACGATTGAAAAAGTTGTAATTCTGTGGATTTGTGTATCTGTTCTGTGAAATCGGGGATTAGGTTGAAAATTTTTGATACAATTCTTCTTCTTTCACAAAGATTATAAAATCATAAGACGATTTCAATTTTTAACGTAACAAAAATCGACACTTTTTAATTCCGTCTACACATTTTACGATTCGGCACAAAGACTACGTACAAAAGTATCTAAGTATTTCTCTTATGGTCTACACAGAATACGCTAGTGGGGAGCGCGAAGGGGTGAAGTACGCAGGTACGTTAAGCGTAAGTTCGATTACACTGAAGCCATCGATCGAGAAGCACACATTTATATAAAAAAAAAAAAAGAAAAAAACGCGCTTTCGCGTGCAGCAGCGTTACAACAACATCGAGAGCCACCGACGAGAGCCAACTACCAAATATCCGCTATCATGAATGCTCGCTAACACCGCCACCAATGACGACGCGCAAGACGGCACGGCATATTCTACTCACTTGGTGTTCCAGTAAATTTTCGTCGTGACGACGTAACTGGAACGATTCCAGGCGCGTCTCAGCAAGATACGACCGAACTGGATTTCCGCGCGGTGTCCGCTGTGAGCCTCGCTCAAGTCAAATACATTAATCCCGCTGTCGTAGGCGAGCGCCACAACGGCCTCCGCGGTTTCCTCGCTGCCGCAGCCGCCCACGCCGAAAGTGGTCCATGTTCCTGCGCGCATAAAACCAATCAAGCGACATCAGCGACCGTTTGCCGCGGCTTGGCAGAAAACCGTGCGATCGAAATCGCGACAGCAAACGATGCGTCATCTGCTCGGGCTGCGATCTAGTATCAGCACATTTAGCTCACTCATTTCGCAAAAAAGGGAGAGAAAGAGAGAAATAGAAAGATCATTCCGCCAGAAGATAGGATGCTAGCGTGCAAGGCCGACTCGAAGAGTCGATTTCAACTTTAAGTTTCGACTCTCTCTAAAATTTCGCGAGAAATAATCAATTTTGCTTTTAATGTAAATAGTAGTAAAAATAATAATGATATTATTATAACTGGATATGATACAATAAATTAAGTTGTTGCAAATTAAATTTAAATTACGTTATTGATTAGCTTATTATTGCAATTTATTTCTTAAATTTTTCATCTTGTTAATTTTAATTTAAATCTTTATTATGCAAAGATATAATTTATTCAAAAAATTAAAAAATTTTGTTTTTCACTCCAAAATCTATTAGCAAATTATTTTAGATTTACACTCTAAAAATATTCAGCCGGTCTTGCTGGCATAAAAATATTGCGACAGAAAACATGAAGCTTATGCATTAGAGAAGATTATGATAATCAATGAATGAGAAACAATGAGCGAAGCGATCGCGAAAGAATCTGCGAGGCTGAAATAATGCGCAAGAGAACATCGCGAGAGCAAACTTGTCTTCGCTTCAGTCAACATACATTTATAGAACGTGCAAAAGTGTGAGACATGTCTCTCGCTAATAAACAGTCTGAAGAGATAGAGTATTCTTGAAGAAAATATATTCTTGACAGGGATTTGCGTCGTCAGACGAGATATTAATAAATTGAAGCGTTTACCAGATATGTAGCGATACGTCTCTTTGTCTGCGCAAGCCGTGTGAATTGTGTGTGACTGTGTGTCGGTCGTGCGATTACGCGCAAACGATCGGCTATAGGTCAGAGCACGTTGTGTATATATCGTGTCTACAGAAGCGCGCGGCGGAAATCAAGCTGTGCGCGACGGTGGCAGGAACAGTATTACAAGAATTATGAATGCGAGAACGATGAAAATCGACACCCACGCGTCTCGGCGGGCCGGGTAATAAAAATCCGATAGCCGTGGCGGATGCATTCCAAGATCGATTTTGTGATATGTGCGCCAGTCGGAAAGTGGGTCTAGGTTAGCCGGAAAAGCCGTCGCGAGATCTCAGAAATGACTCTACTGAAAGAGGGGTATACATTCAGCGTACCTAATCCAACATTGGAAACACGTAGACCGCTTTTGCCCAAGTTGCGGTAGCGAATACCTGGCGAGGGATGCTGCAAACGTTGCGCTTGTGCGGCAATGCAGCTAGTTAGTAGCTGCTCTTTCGTTCCGGTCGTGTTGCTGCAGTGCACGCCCGAGTCTGCACCGCCGCCGCCACCGCCGCCGCCGCCGCCGTTGAACTCTTCCATACAATCCAGACTTGCTATGGGTGCACGGCAGCTGCGCATACAAGGTGCACGAGTTATCGCGTATCGATGTCGATACGTCGCTTGTTTCGTAGCTGCGTACGTTCCGCGGAACACGGACACCGCCGTGTATGTAACTCGGCTACGGTCGATCGGTGTCTCGGGATATCTTAGGCGCACAGGATGCTCGATCGAGAGCGAATATTCCGCGACGGACGCTATCGTCTTTTGCGAATCTTTAATTTTGCAAGCTCTCCTTCACAATTTTCAGCTTCTTAGAAACGTGATAATGCTCAGAAGGCAATTTTCAACATTGTGGCAATTTAATCTTGCATCTTACATCTCTGTTGTAACAAATTGGAATTGATCGAACAATAGAATGCGCTATTTGTTTACATCCCCGAAACTTATCTTGCAATTTTAATAATTAAATGATTCCGTAATCATTGATATTTCGCCATTTAAATAATTACCATTTCTGGTTATCAGTTCAGTGTTAACGCGATCAAAATTCAAACATGAATAATTCGAGGGGCGATCAATCATGAGCATAATTGCCCACGTTAAACGCCACTACTTCGATGTGTGATTCAGGTTGTTCCGCGCTGAAATCGAGCCGCTCATCAGTATCGTCCGACGAAGCTCGGTTGCACCAACAATCCGAATAAAGTAAGTTCGCCTCAGAGCAGACCCCTTTCGCTCTCCCCTTTCAGATTATACTCGCGCGCATGATACAGACAACCCCGAGAAGGAAAACTTATTTGCGGCCAAAGTTAGCTCCAAGTGACGTTAGTGCAACCGAGTCTAAGTGAGCTTCACTCGCACACTTCAGTGCTCCCGCAGCTCATGTTACTCGCTTGAGTTAGGAGCGGCGGCATCGAGCGTGCCGGTATATGTATAACGATCATCGTCGCGTCAGCGGCACATCCCCATCGAATTACTCGTGTTTGAATTTTCGTTCAGCGAGCGAGCCCGTCGCTGGCGCAGTTTTAGAAACTACTATTGCGAGCGTCTAGATGCGCCGCGTTACGTCTGTGCCCCTTTAAAAGCTAAAACTACCACCGCGAGTCCGCCGCCTCCGCCGCCTCCGCCGCCGCCGACGCCGCCACCGCCGCCGACGTCGCGATGTGGGTCACCGGCGCGGGGACGGCGCGGCACAGCATAGGTTTCAGGTCGTGGAATATCGTCTTCTCGCTCGAGTGCTCGGTATACCGTGTATACCGACCACTTTGCCCAGACATGATCACTTTGTGAGCTAGCCGCCTTTAATAATTAAAGCCTCGCCGAAATATCCGCGATAATCGGCTTGCGGAACGACCTTCGATCGATATAATAGCATTAAGTGAAATGAAGGGTGCAAAAAAACGAAGGAATCCGTACCGCAAAAGAGCTCAAAGAGCGCGCGGTGGATTCCGACAGTTTTTAAACGCTTTTTTTCTTTCGGAAGAAAAAAAAGAGAGTGAAGATGAGGAAACTTGCAAACCGCGGACTTTTAATCCTTTCGAGATTTTTCATTTATCAACTTTACATTCTAAAGACAGACATGTGATATAAATTTTTACTTCACTGAATTCCTGATGAATATATATTATTTCAATGTTTTTAAACAGAATGTGTACCGTCGCGTTAGATTTGGCACGAAACTATCTTACTCATTTTTCATGTCTGCCGTAAATTAACAAAATGAGATTATCTAAGATCTTGGAGCGGAACTTTTTAATTGAATCGTGCACGATATTTCATGCGCGGCTCGCTCCGCGATGACATTTGCGCCCGCTTCGAATTCGTTTCTGTCTTGCGACTGCGGCCAAATGTAACATTGATAAATTGCGGGGAAAACGGCGGAAAAGTGGATACTTTGTTTCCTTGACATTAGACGCTACTACGTACCGATAAATTGTAGGCAGTGGGTATGAATCGTCGTCCTCCATACTGCTGTTCGTGTTTGCGTTGTTGTTTGTATCATTTCCCGCTGTCGAGGTATTGCCAAGATTACACAGCATTAATCGCGACATTACTAAACGTTAGTGAGAAAACGTTTTCAGTCTATCGGAACACTTCGGGGGGGGTGAATGGGACTTGGCGAGACAGGCCGAGATATCGCGGTACGGATACCACGTACAGACTCAACGAGTACACACGTACTTGACTCTTAATGCGGCAACCGTACCCGTCGGAAACGTATTTACGGAATTTCGCAATTCTCTATCGTGTCTTACCGCGTGGTCTCCTCCGTCTCTTCGGTCGCTCGGTGCGCTTTCTCTTTGCTTTGATATTCTAGCGTAATCGGCGAGTGACAAAACGAGCATCGCTCAATTCGTATCCCCCCCCGAAAAAAGAAACGTATTGTACGTACAGGCTACATGTAGAGATCGATTACGCGGATCGAAAACGTTTTGCGATTATTGCACGTACGACGTGTAGGCACTGTAATTCAACTCTTCTCCCTTCTCGTTACGAAATCACGCTTTTAGGCACCACTTTTTGAAGAGTTGATAAAACTTGACAGCTTTCGCAGTAGTCGGGCACAGTCCGCGTTCGTGTTCTCGGGGTGGGGAGGGGGGGAAGGGGGGGTTATGACACACAGCGTTTCGCGGCTACTCGATACGCGCTAATCAGCGGATTGTTAAATGTCGGTGTGCTTCGCGACGAAACTACGGGCTAAGAGACGAGAATGGTCGATATGAAGCTAGGATATGTGATACGATTTCTAAACAGCATCGGCCGTGCCGCCGACACGGAGAGTATTATACGAAGCGGTGCGATGGCAACGATCGCGCTCGCTGCGGGGGCTACAGTTTCG